TATATAATATATTATAACTCAAAATATAGGTTAATGCACACCTTTATCCACTCACCCCTTCAATTATGACTTTATGGTACACCTGCATATCAATAAAACTTCAAACAAAAACATAACCTAACCATTTGACATACAAGTTTAAATTTCACCGTGTTTTCTGACATACCTAAATACTGGTAATAAAAAAAATACTCTGTATTATTGTTTTAACAATATTTGTCTTACCATCACAAGAAATATCCTTAATAATAATTAGAATACACTCCTCAACCTCACATAAACATCCCACGCTTTATATTCCTGTACATTACCATAAGTAAGGTTATAATTCGATAAATTGGTACAGAAATTGCTATTTTTAACATTTTTTTTTTGCTTGTTTTTTAAGACATTACATACCTCTGTTAGAAGTCTTTTGAGGCCTTCCACTTCATCTTCCCCTGGATTTAATTCACCCCCCGGCAATTTAAAAAACGTCGTCCCCAATTGCAACAATAAAACATGTGGTAACCCATGTTCGTGAACAAGCAAAACCCCCTCGACACTCCTCCTCATACCTATCCTTTCGAATTCATCGCGCATTCTTTGAAAACGGGCAGGGACACTGGGGTCTTTTTCAAAAAGGGGCTCCTTTGTGCCAAAGATGTAGTTTGTGAGAGGATACCTACGATTGCAATAGAAATTTAGAAAACCAAAATGGGGCTCACTTACAAATTGATTATCCTGTTGATTGCCGGGGAAGTGACTGAATATTTGTTCTCGAATGTGGACGTGGGGGCCACAGCGGTGGTGGAATTTTGACTGTTTCTGCGGGGCCACCCGCTACCGGCCATGTTATTTTGTTGTGCTTTTACTTGTGAAGACGTCATTGCCATACCCAAATGGGGCGCTTGTTTGATAAAATAATTCGGTTTCGTTTTACCTTCAATTCACACTTTTGATCTTAAAATTAATTAAGAAACTAGTTTTTATTTAAAACAACACGGACACTGACGCCGATTTTTTATACAAACACAACACCACTCGGCGCCATTAACGCAACAATGAAAATCACTAGCGTCGTGTTGATTACAAACGTTACGGAAACAAAATCACTAACTAAAGCGCCGATTTCAAAGTACCATGAGATCATTTAAAAAATAAATTAAAGCAGGCGGGTTTTTTTTTATACGATTGCCCAGAATGCCAATTGACTGATTGAATAAATTTGAGGTTGTGGTTAACTTTGTGACGTTTGTGGATCTGATATTCAATCGTTTTAATTTAAAGGAAATGAAAACACTGAAACGAATGCGTTTTTATTGCGAATTACATAAAATGTTCAAAGTGTTCCCCCCCAGCTGCAATACAATTGTTAACCCTCCGTTTCATATTTTCAAATGCATTTTCCAATATCTCAGGGGTTWCAGCGTTACATGTATTAGAAATTGCCTCTTGCAGTTCTTCAAGGTTGTGCGGGTTATTTTTAAAAACGGTGTTTTTGAGATATGGGAAAATGAAATAATCTAGAATTGTCAGGTCCGGACTTCGAGCCGGAAATTGAATAACTCGATCATCATAAAACTCGTGAATTCGACCCATAGTTTCCCTTGTCTTGTGAGCTGTTGCATTGTCCTGTTGGAAGTACCCATGTCGAATTTC